CGGGAGGGGCGGGGCCGGCCGCGTCTCCGGGCAGCCTTGGCGAGAGGGGCGGGGCCGGCGCCTCGGCGCGTGCCTTCCGCCAGCCAATAGGGTGGGCGCTATGCAAACGAGCCCGGAGACCACGCCCCCAGGCCCAGGGGCTCGGCGGCCGCGGCTCCCCCGGGCCGGTCCCGCTCCCGATCCCGCTCCCGATCCCGCTCCCGTTCCCGCTCCTCCCGGGAGCGTCCCCGGGGGTCCCGGGCAGGGGTCACTGCTGGGACGAGGTGTCGGCCTCCGCTTCCTACCGCGCCTGCTTGCCGGCCCCGGAGCCAGACTCAGTCCCCGGCCGTCGCCGTCCTCATCCTCCCGGGATACCCCGTCCCCGGGGCGGGAGCGAGCGGCTCTCGCTGCCAGAGCGGCGGGTTGCACATGCAGGGACACGATTGCGCTGCTGCCAGGCAGAGCAGGATGAGGTGTTTGCTCTGGGGGAAGTTGGGAGCACGCATGCGAGTGTGTGTGTGTGTGTGTRTGTGTGTGCCCGTTCGCCTCAGGTCGCCGGGATCGTTAGGGATGATGAGTCAGGTTTTCTAGGCTCCATGCTAATGCACGGAGATGGAGTGTATAATTAGGACGGAGGCAAATCTATTATCTGCAGCCTGGGAGATCTGGGGTATGAACCTCTTTTTTTGCATCACGGCATCACTGCTGTTTCCCTTGCCTGTGTGCTCTTTGGCTTTTAAATGAGCACAGATGAGCTTTAACATAAGTAGTCCCACCGACGTCAATAAAAGTTCATTAAATGTCGAGCGTTATATAATTCCTATTTTGAAAAATGATGATATAGAAGGATTTTTTTTTTCTAACTGGGAACAGTATGCTGTTTGCTCTACGAATTTTCTAAGCAGATTTGGGATGTTACATTGTTTTCAAGGTTTCCCCCGGAGATACAATTTTAAAACAGCTGCTTGAGAACTGTGATCTGCTTTGCCTGGGAATACTTTCTATTTTTGCAAAATGAAGCGTTGCATAATTTAGTGAACTGGCTGGCTAAAAAGGGCACAATGCAATTAGTAATTTGCATATCTTAAAGGAGACTGATTGAACCTAGATCTGACTGTCTTTGAGAGCTACCGAAAAGTTTCTCAGATCAGACTTTGCCACCCTAAGTAAAACTCCATCCGCAGAAACATTCTCCTCCATTGCCAGCCTAAGTAAAATTCCATCCACAGAAACATTCTCCTCCATCCTTTCCCTTCTACCCATTTCAAAARGGATCTTCTCCTCAGGCAGAGCAGCCTTCAACAGATGGATACTCTGTGGACTCTGCTGTTGGGAATGCATCTGAATGTTACTCTCACAGGCAGCCATACAAAATGCTTGGAGACGAAGACATGGAAGGGGGTTGTTTCTTTTTCGTTTGGTTATTTGTTTTTTTTTTTTTTCCCTCCAGAGAGTGTGCTAGAAATGGCATCCCAAGATGATAAAACAGTTTGCTTGAGTGCAGGTACTTGCTGTGCCATGTCTGAATCCCACACACTGCAGCATGGTGCTATTTAAACAAGGAGAAGAGAGTAGCCAAACAGGTTCATTCTCATCATGTAATCTGAATGTATCACTAAAATTAAAGTAAACTATGTGAATGAGGCAAATGGCTTTTTATTTCTTGCCGAATTCCATGATAATGTTGTCTGAAATAATAATTTTTAAAAGAAGCAGAAGAGTATTGTGGTTAAGCCACAGGCAAAGGACAGTTCATTCTTCAGCTCAAGTAAGATCATTGAGTCATTTGCTGTCAGAGTACGTGGTTCAAAACTCAAACCCATTGACAAGGATGGCAGCAGACAAGTTCGAAAAACAGAGAAGAGAAAGATTTTGGTTGAGTTACTCCTAATGTTTAACATCAGAACATTTGCAAATACTCAGATCACAGTAACATCATCCATTCATTTATTTTGTATCCACGGTGGCAAGTACACATGACTAAACATTCTTAGAAATTGGCAGGGTCCCATTCCCCTTATGAAATTATTTCTGTCTTGAATGACAACTTCAGATCTTTAGCAAAGTCCACGAAGCCCAAGAAAATTTTCCATTAGTCAGGATGAAAGTTAGGCTGACTTGTAAGGCAATTTAAAATTCGAGAAATTTGGTATCTAGTCTTGTTTAGCCACAAATGTCTTGTGAAAGAAAGCAGGACATTCATGCCCAGATGCTTAAGTATTTGGTTGACTAACCCTTAATTAAACAGGAAGCACTTAAGTACCTTTGTTGCTCCCAGTCTTGCCTTTCAGTACTTTAATATCTGAGAAATGTCAAGAGAAACATAAACTTTGAAAGTGTTTCATTGTGTTTGGAAACAATAAAGCAAATAGGGTTGCTTAAAACCCTTTCTTGCCCCCAACAAAAATTCTGCTTGGTATATTTTCTGAAGTTCATTTTTCCCCTCTCCAACTTTTTTAATAAAGATTTGTAATGCCTAATAGAGATCAGACATGTACCTAACAGGACCAGTGCTTACCCAGTATCAGTCTTAGAAAATCAGTGTATAGACTGAGACAATATGATAATTTTTGAAACATCTGAACTCTGTCTAGATGTRGTGATTGGAAATGAACTGCTGGGCTTTGTGTGACAATGCTCCTGTGAAAGGCTGGGTTTGTGCTTGCTTAACAGCGTCTGTGGAGCCTTGCTGCCTGCAAAGGCTTGTGCATGTGGGCCTGATTTTGAGCTCTTGGATCATTACATTTTGAGTTAAACGTGTGCATAAATTCGGCATAGTAAAAGCCTGTCTTTGTACGAGTTGGTTTCTTAGTGAGCATATCCACATTCTTGAAAGTTCTCCTTGTAAGCTTATTGCTCAAATGAAGTATGCAAAAATATCCAGTGCTCCCTTTGCAATTGTCTGGCAGTTTTTATGATTCAGCTGTACCTTGCTTGCCATGCACTGCTGTGTATTTCCTTCAGTTTTTGCCCAGCTACTGAGTCATAAGGGAAAGCAGAATGCTGAAATTWAGAGGTACTTGAGTTACAAGCAGTATGGCATCTTGACTTGCCTGGAAATTTTGCAAAGATTGTCAATTCTGTAAACCAAATCTTTGCTGAGGTCACCTAGACAGGCTGTGAGCTATTGCTGTGCAAGGGTAAAGTGGAGATATTTTAAAAATCTWGATGATATGGAGCATACTGGCTTGAGACCATCACATCCTTTCACAGATTACTGACCTGCTGGGATACGGTTGCACAAGTGGTTACTGGTTTAAACAGATTTTTATCATCAATGACCATARCTTCTGCAAAGTTTAAAAAACAAACACTATGATGAAACATCAAGGCAGGAACAAACTTCCAAAGGAAGTAACGGTTGCTCTGCCTCCTGAAATCRCCAGATGCATTTTTGGCAGACAGGTGTGGACTGCTGCCCCTGCTGTAGGAGTGGCTGAGATGTGGTGGCCTTTGCTAGAAGGTCAAATTTCTCCTAATGCTTTATGCAGCCTTCAAGCTAACATGGCTCAAACAGATTGGCTGAGAGACACAGGTGCATCCAAACACTGAGGTGCCTTCATCCCCCAGAGCAAGCACCCGTGCTGTGCTGTAACAGTGTGACACCAGCTTTGAACTCCTGCTGGGGCTGCAATATTTCTGCCTGGAATTTGAAATGCATGTCCGCTGTCTTCCATAGAGCATCACGCTCAACAACCATAAGCTGCACAACCATTCTATAAGGGAACACAGTGCGATAAACATACCCTTATTTCAAGAGCAATAAGATCTGTAGATTGACTGTGCTGACCGTATTGTGTGTCCCAGAATGGTCAGCCTGGTGGCAATGTGCTGTGCAGGTGCTATGGGATGTTCACAAAACCCATATGATGCTTCCCTAAATTATGCACCTACTCTACAAATGTGCAGTGCTTTTGTTGTTCTTACATTAATGAAAAACTTGATTCTTCCTGAAAAGGTTAGATTGACAAGATCAAGGGCTGTAAAATCGAACTCATTATACTGTGGGAACGTTTGGTATTCACAGACGTCCGGCAGCTTGGAGAGGAGGACGGAAGGGGGCAGCTGCCATGCAAAAGCTCTGACTGGATTGCTGCAAGACTAGAAATCCCACATGCAATTAAAAGATCCTCAAGTTTTGCCCAGAAGCAGGAAGAGAGAGCATGCCTGAGCATCCAGCACTGGAGCCTTACCCAGTCTCCCTGACTGCCACAGTAAAGTGCTGTGTGCATGATTAAACGAGCTGATTGACACATGTCACACACACCTTGCATTTCATGACTCCATGARTCATTCCATAAAGCCATACTGAACATGCATACACAGGAAAATGTAGTTTCTTCAGGCCAAAAGTCCAGCCCWTTGACATTATGTCAAATGAGTGATAGTCCTGCCTTCATTATCATAATTTTTGTTGCACCGTACTAATATCTTTTGCACAGCATTTATATCATGTTGTCAGGGGAAGGAAGAGCAGCAGATAAAGTTTGTGCCCTAAGTGATGTTATGCACACATTGACACTATAAAATGACTTCCCATCCTTACTATTACATGTCCTAATTTGCAAAATGGGTGTTCAGATAATTGTGTGAGACAGGGAGAAGTGATAGTTTGTGGAATTCTTCCTTGGGGGAGGGGTACACACCTTTTCATTTGCAGGGTTTAAACCCTAACTGGATAAAGCACTTGAAATTATGTTTATCATAAGAAACAATTATGGTCTGGCRCAGGAAAGCTGAGCTCACTGACCTAATAGGCCT